AACGGGGATTGATATTTTGTTGGAAAAATCCAAGAATCCGGATTGAATTCTCGTGTCGTAAGAAAACAAATAATAATCTGGGAAGAATAAATTTTTTTATTTAACTTGTTGATTCATATTTATTTTGACTACTTTCTCATATTTATCTATTTATTCTATTCATTTTTATTCGACCTTCCCGGAGTTCATTCTCCGGGCAACTCCGTTTAACCGGTGGATTCCTTCCAACCTACTTCTTTTATGATCTCATTGGAAATCATATAAAGACAATTCCTATTTGATATAGCTATTTGTGCAAGTATTTACGATTAAGAAGCAACTGTCTCTTGTACAGACCGTTTATTAATCTACTATAACTATAGCATACCCCCCTTTCCAGAATTGCTGTATTTATTCGAGTGATCCATAAACGACGAAAATTGATTTTTTTCTTATCCCTATCCCGATGAGCCGAAACCAAAGCTCTTATTTTTGTTGAGTAATAGTTCGAGTAAGTCTTGAATGAGCCCCCGAAAGCTTGATGCAAAATAAACGAATTTTTGTTCTACGTCTCCGAGCGATATATCCCCGTCTAATTCGGTCATTGAATAAATGCAACTTTCACGAATAAACTAATGATTTCCTTTCTTTCAGTTATTCTTTTGCCCCTTTCCTAGTATATAATAACAAAACGGATTTTTCCAATGTATAAACTAAAAATTCCAACGGCTTTGGCTACTATAACCTTCCCAACCACGATTTTTTCTTTTTTATAGGCGTTTCGCCTCGAAATACGAAATTGTACTAGACTAGGTATTAAAAAAAATAAAAAAAAATAGCAATGATAAAGAAATAGTGGATTCCATCGTTTCTATGGTTACTTCTTAAACGGTGAGGTATTCTCTATACACCGGAGCCTTTACTTCATTTAATCAATGTTATTGCTAACTTGTATAGTTCACATTCTTCGGCTCTACCCATGAATTATCCAGTAATAGGTCTTTCACAACGAGCTCTACCTATACAGTAACGGTATTTAATTATGAAGGTTGGCTGGGTAGCTGACCCTGTTAATCCGTTCTTGCAAGAGGGGTCTATATTAACTAAGATTTCCTCCGCTTAATGGATAACCATTTGCTACCAATGGAGAATTGTTTCTCATCTTGAATTGAGGTGAGTGGATTTACACCAATAGAAACCATAAATTTCATACACAATAAAAGGGATATGCTCCATTTTCTTATTTTTAGATAGGAAATGTAGTTCGTTTTCCGTTCTATCCTATTTGATCATTGATATTTGAACATGGCTCTCTTTCCTTTGTTCAAGTTCATGATCTGAATGAGTCGCACATACACCCTAGTACATGTTCCTCGACGCTGAGGGCATCCCCGAATCGCGGGGGATTTTGTGACATTTCTAATTGGCTGTCTTGTATTTCTAATAAGTTGTTTAATCGTTGGCATGTTGAATCATATACATAATGGACTGGTTTAGATTGATCCTAACCGCATGATTATGAATTCCTTTTATTAAATATAATAGTAAATAAAAGTCATAATATATTAATATGAAACTCGGCAGGGGTAATTTCAAATCACGAATTGATGCGAAATCCAGGCTATGCTATTGTCATTCAACCGCTATAAGATCAACAATTTCATAAGCTTGGGCCTCTGTTGCTGACATAAAAACATCTCTTTCCATGTCTTCGGAGACAACCCATAGGGGTTTGCCTGTTCTTTGTACATAAACCCTTGTAAGGGTTTCACGTAGTTTCAGCAGTTCTCCCACTTCCAGGATGAATTTTCCCATTGCTACTTCAAAAAAAGAACCAGCAGGTTGATGGATCATTACCCTGATGATATAAGAAAATAAAAGGTTTCTTTATTTCGCATGATAAAGGGAAGATAAAACAATGATAAAATACTTTTTATTCCAATACTTTTTATTTTTTCATAGCAAGTTCCTTCCTTATTAACGTATAATATCAAAAAAGAATTTATTAAACTTATCCAATTAACTTCTCATTGATGGATTCTCTTCATCGCGATTCAATCCAAATCAGATGTTATTTTCTTGTTCTTAAATAGGCCTCTTTAATCTTTTTAGGTTTATGCTCTACTCCGGGTAAAGATCCGCCCGATTTTGATATGCACATATAGTACAAATGCTCCCATTACGACTTCCTTTTCTTATGCCTTTTTTTTTAATTCACGCATTCCGTAAAATAGTTGACGACTTCGTGCATATTACTCGATTGATTAACATAAGAGTTTGAAATAACTTCTACTTACAAAAAAGGATTTCTTTCAAATCAAATAAAAATAGGAATCCTTTATTATATAAAATAGATATATTATCACTTGGTTTTTTTAGACGGAGCCTGGATACTTCAATGTAGTATTCCAATTAAGCCACCATAAATTCTTCTAATTGATAATAGTAATTTGAATCCCCCCCAAAAATGGATGTAATTGCACTTCACGCTCCACAATTTTGATGATTCAATTAATCTTTCATGGGCGAAACAGAGGATATCTCGATTTGGGGAGCGAAAACGGGGAAAATCCCATATGACCCAATATATCTGACAAGTCGCACTATATGTCAACCCAAGATGCATTCTTCCTCTCCAGGACTTCGAAAAGGTACTTTTGGAACACTAATAGGCATTAAATGAAAGAAAAAAGAATCAGTAATAGATTTTACTTTGATGGGGAAAGTAACAAAGCCTTTATTTCTTTATTATTAGCTTTATAATATTGTACTTTATCTAATCATATTTTATTATCATATTTATTCATAAATTAGAAAATTTTATAAAGAAAGTCAGAAAAAATAAGGGAAAATTATTACGAATAGTGTCCTTTAATGATGAACAAGTATGGGCACATTCGCTCATATAAAATGGCATTAACTCCCCATTGCGTATTGGTACTTATCGAGTATAGAAGAAATCTGCTTCTCTTTGTTCCTACGAACAAAATTGTTCCATTATTACCAACAGAATAGAACAAATATGAACCCTTGCGTTGAAATAATCCACTAAAGAGGGGGGTCCATAAATAGTCATAGTATATTTCCAATGCAATAAAGTTACGTAGTGTCTTTTTTTCTTTCATAAAGGGGTATTTCCATGGGTTTGTCTTGGTATCGTGTTCATACCGTTTTATTGAATGATCCCGGACGGTTGCTTTCTGTTCATATAATGCATACAGCTTTGGTTGCGGGTTGGGCCGGTTCTATGGCCCTGTATGAATTAGCAGCTTTTGATCCTTCTGACCCTATTCTTGATAATGTGGAGACCAGGGTATGTTCGTTATACCTTTCATGACTCGTTTAGGAATTAACCAATTCATGGGGTGGTTGGAGTATCACGGGGGGATTATAACCAATCCGGGTATTTTGAGTTAGGAAGGTGTGGCCGGAGCGCATAGTGTGTTTTCTGGGTTGTGCTTTTTGGCAGCTATCTGGCATTGGGTGTATTGGGATCTAGAAATATTTTCTGATGAACGTACAGGAAAACATTCTTTGGATTTGCCCAAGATCTTTGGAATACATTATTCTTGCAGGTGTGGCTTGCTTTGGTTGGTTGCATTTCACGTAACAGGTTGTATGGTCCTGGATATCTCGGTGTCCCGATCCTTATGGACTAACAGGAAAAGTACAAG